CAATGAAATCGGTTGATTATTTCTCTTTATATACACAAAAATGTATACTTGGCCCGTAGTAAACGTCTAGTTGCCGATGCCTGATTTTTTTCAAAACATCGGAATTTTCGCGGACGGTTGAGCTGAACTTATATATAAAATTTCAAGTGAATCGGTTGAATATTTTCTTCAAAATGTTGAAAAATGTAAAACAGGCCCGCTAAAAAGTGCAGTTCCCGAGTCCTGATATATACCAAAAGTTGATCAATCCGTGCCATGGTGGAAATAAACTTACATATAAAATTTCATCAAAATCGGTTCAGCCGAACTTGAGATACACGCGTGCACACACAGACCGAGAGACCGACAGGTTACTAAAAATAGTTTATTTACACTTCACATGGGAGTGTATTAATCAAATAATATATAATGGTACAAATAAAAGTAACAAAAATGTTTTGTTGGACGGACTTTTAGATATTGAAGCGTATAATAAATTAAATAAATTGAACGATTACTTTGCTACACTCGGAGAGATTTTGTCGCAAAAAATTAATAACAAAATATACTTCGAAAGTTTTAATACTCTTCAATCTTTTGCATTTCAATATACTAATAAAAATCAAATAGCTATTGTTATAAAAAACTTAAAGAAATCTAATTCACTTGATGGTCTTGATATGTCCTCGAATATGCTTAAAGATTGTATTAAAACTCTAAGTGGCCCAATTTCGATTTTAGTCAATAAGTCGTTAAAAGAATGTACAGTCCCAAAAAAATTCAAAATTGTTAGGATAGTACCCATTCACAAAAATGGTAGTAAAAGCGAAATAAATAATTATAGACCAATACGAGTATGTATTACATCTGTAATGTCCAAAATTTTAGAAAAAGTTGTAAACGATCAACTATGCAATTTTTTAGAAAAAAATAATTTGCTCTCCGAACAGCTATACGGATTTAGAAAATTGATATGGTTACTTGTGTGCAAAAGCTTAAAGATGATAAGAAGGTTGTTTCGGTGCTTTTTATGGACCTAGCAAAAGCTTTCGATACGGTGAACCATAGTATTTTATTAAAAAAATTACAGAGATATGGCATAAGGGGTTTGGCTTACAACTGGTTTAATTCATACTTAAATGATCGTAAACAATTCACGCAAATTGCCAATAAAAAAAGCTAAAACAAAAACGTAAACTTTGGTGTGCCGCAAGGGCAGAAAATTACATTTTGTGACAAATAAAAATGAATAATGAAATTGAAAAAATTAGATTATGGATGGAATATCACAAGTTAACGATTAACCTTAAAAAAACTAAATATATGATCATAAGCTCCTCACCACACCTCCTTAATGTTCAAATTTCAAATGAATCATTGGAACAAGTTCACGAATTTAAATATCTTGGAATTTGGATTGACGAGAAATTAAAGTGGAATGTGCATACATATTTTCTATGCAAAAAACTTTCTGCTATTTTCGGTTTTGGGTTTCTTCTGTATTATGAACCGATACCGATAAAAATATTTCAACCGATTAAAAGAAGCTTTTTCATACAAATTTTTGTTTTTGTAAATTGGAGAAAATGTTTTTTTTTCTAATGACATTTGTTTTCTTTCAAAAGTTATTTTCAAAAAATTTTTAAAACTATTTTGAATTTGGTTTTGATGTGCTAAAAAGTTGTTGTAAGAAAATTATTTTCTGTTAAATTTGTAAAATAAAAGTATACATATATCGGGAAAATGTCACGTGCATTATATTTTGAAAGTGAAGAAACGCAAGCTATTCAAAGACGACATATAAGAGATTCAACTAATCCATTGGATTTAGACAACAAAATGTATGTTTATGTACCTATTTTATTTTATTATTTATATAATATGTACACATTTTTTAGGTTTATCCAGAATTTCAGATTATCATTCCTTGCCAGGTTTAAGTCCTCTTCCATTTTTTCTACTAACCGCGCAATTTGTTTTTTGTTGCTTACGATTTTACTCCTAAATAAAATATATGAATAACATTTTGAAAGAAAATAATTTAGAAAAAATGCTTACATTTTAAAAAAGCAATTAATTACACCAGTTTCCTTGATAAAATGAAGATTTTACAAAAAAAAATCTGTCGTCTAAAAATTTGTACCCGCTTTTAAATCGGTGAAAACCCGACAATTTATCGTTTTCATAATACCAGCTAATACGTTTCCTATACAGGGAAAAAAAGCTTTCCCGACTCCGATAAAATTTACCGATAAACAATGTTGGTAATACAAACACAAAATTTTGCCGATAAATTATCGTTTATCGGCCGATACCGATATACATAATAGAGGGGATTGTTGGTGTTTTTAATAAAATTTCATCTTTAATACCTCTTAGTATCAAGAAATCTCTTTACTTTGCACTATTTCACAGCCACCTAAGTTATGCAATAAATTTATGGGGTACATGTACAGCACTAATAATTAAGGAATTACAGGTAATTCAGAACAAGGTACTTAAAGTACTTTATAACTACAGTTGGCGGGAAAGTACAGAACTCATTCATGGAGAAAAAGCAATTCTTTTAGTGAAAGATCTTGTTAACCTAAGGTTAACTTTACATATTCATGATATGGTTCTGTCCAATATTCACACCACCACTACTTTAGTAAGAAGAGGAGAAATTCACGATCTCTGTACTAGAAATATTAATTTTATACATCTAGAGAGAAAAAGAACAGCACACTTTGGATCATCTACAACTTTATATCGTGGTATCAATATTTATAATAGTTTGACAAATCATTTTAAATTGCTTAACAAAAATAATTTAAAAAAAGAATTGATAAAAGATAAGGTTATGAATTATAATAGGAAGGAGTCGATGTAAATTTAGTTTGCGTGATTCATATTTTATTTCATTTGTTTTTTTCTTTCAATTAATTTTTCATTTTTATTTTTTTTTGTATTTCTAATGAAAAATTTTCTTCCCTTTTTTTTTCTTATTTGTAATCAAAAAAAAAAAAAGCTACTTAATTTCTTCTTTTAAATTTCCGCCATAAATTTGGATTTCATTGAAGTTTTGTATAAAAGTTTACATTTTATTTTTTGTTTTTTTCCAACCTAAAATTAAATTATAATAATCAATAGTATAATTTAACTAAACTTGTAACTTTTGTACTATATGCAGCCAATTATGAGAAATTATTCTCTTGAGGCATTAATGAATAAATAAATAAAAAAAAAAAAATATTATTAGGAAACTTAAATGACTTAAAAGAAACCTACGAAAAATTTGACAAACTGTCTAAAACGGTAGGGCTATATATAAACGCAGGTAAAACAAAGTATATGTTCCACACTAGCAACACATACGAGGAACTTTAGTTTAGGAATTTAGAGCTTTTTCGAATATTCATCTATAACCTGGTTCTTAAGTGAAATTTTTTCGTTTATTAGGAACCGTCATAACTGCAAAAAATTGTTAAAAAATTCAAATTTTTTTTTGGAGTTATTTGAATATTGAGTGAGTGAATGAAAGCTTTTTCAGTTCACAGTTTTTGTTTTATGAATGCATGAGCAGATTTATAGCTTTTTAAGAGTACTTAAAAAACTTTTTTATTTAACTTAGTTTAATCAGTGCAGTGATGAATTTTCGAAAAAGTCCTTACTTATCTCGGTGGGGTATTAAGCTCTAATAAAGATACATCTACTGGAATACAAGAAGGAATTCAGACTGCAAAAAGCACATATTACATCCATAAAGAATTATTATAGAGAAACCAGAAACTGAAAATGTACAAGATATTAATACAACCTGTTCTAACATACGGCTATGAAAATTGGACGCTTAAATCTACAGATATCAATGCAATTGCATCGATTGAAAAAAAAAATATTGAGAAGAATTTATGGACTTATCAGAACGAACGACGGATTATACTGTATTAGGTATAATCACGAAATTGAAAATATAATACAAAGGCGAGCGTAATGAGGTTCATAAAGGCACAAAGAATTAGATAGTTGGCACATCTAATAAGAATGGACGATTAAATAATTGTAAAGCTTTTAAGAAACGCAGTAGACCAAGAAAAAGATGGATTGAAGATGTTGAGAGAACTCAATGGCAGGCAGCAGTAGCATAAGCAATGGTTCACGCAGGAATGTTTAGCTGAGATGGTGATGAACTGTGAAAATAGTACAGGTTGGGAAATTACAGTGAATCTTTACTTTAAACACAATCATCCAATAACTACAATTAAATCCGAACTGATGAAAACTATAAAAGAGTGAAGAAATTTAGCATGGAAAATGGTGATTATTTACAGCAACTTCTTTTGCCGGTAACTATATACTTACACTTAAGAGCATTTGGTGGTATAATACGATCAAAAATACTTTGAAAAGTTCAATAATGTTACATACAGAGACTTCAAAAATGCGCTTACAACGTACACCTTATAAAGTATCAGAATTCTAAAAAGTTTAGTAAAAGCTCTTGACATTGTACACTTTTCTAAGTATGTTAGTTTGAACAACCTTTGATTTGATGGAGGGTAAAGTTGTTCTTATTTTTTACAACTTCCCTGGAACGCTTCCTTTAAAACAACGAATTTCTATATATTTTATAGTTATAAATTAAGTAAAGGTATTATTTTTCCAGAACAATTTTTTTGCATGTCTTTGCAGTTCTTTAATTTATAGCATTTCAAATTCACGAAAATTAAAGTTTTTAACAAACTATTGTGTATAAACTAAAACAAGTAATATTTAAATTCTATAAATGCAAAAAGATCAACAATTACCTTTTCTACTCAGGTTTGCGAATACGTAGATACTCTTCGTAGTGATTTAAGTTTATTTTTTCGTAGTGAATAGAGTAATTTATTTTAAATTCTAAAAATACCGGAAAAGTTAGAAAATTTTTTGACGCATATAAACAAAAAAGCGAATTTCAAAACTAAAACCTACTATTTCACCTCTTAAATCACTCAAGTCACCAATGTCAGACGGAAGGCTAAGTTTGCCTTTTGATTGATTCTAAATGATTGTTCATTGAATAATATTTTTTTATTACAAAATCATATTTATGACAACATTTGTTATTTAAACATAAATTTATATTCAATTCTTAAGATTTTCAATTTACTTTCACTTGATTAATGCATTCTTCCTTATTTATTAAGTGACAAGTTTTATTTACCAAACTCATCAATTCATTAATATCGTGTGCCCAATCATTTAATACGTCAGAAGATGCCTTTTTAGACGTAAAATAAACAATTTCAGATGGTCGATCAATTTTTACTCGAATTGTTCCTGAATTTGCTAGTTTCGATAGATATTCTTCACACAATACTGTTGGTAAATCTAATAATTCACTCATTCTTTTTAAATAAATGTTTGTATAGTAATTTGATATTATCTGAATATTCTATTAAAGTAAAATTAAAGAGATAGATATTTGATTTATTTATGTAGATTACATTTTAAATTCTTTAACATAAAAAAATGATTTTACTTACGTGTTCTATAGTGCGATTTTTTAGTTCTTTCCAGCATTTTTGCCCATGTTCCGTTTTCTGATCAAAAATATCGTTTTCTAACAAATGTTTACCATATTTTTGATTAAATGTTTCAAAATTGATCAATTCTTTACACATAAATTGCATCAAAATTTCTCTAAACCGGATAAAAACATGTTTTTTATTTTAAAAAAAGAAAAATTTAAAAAATATTAAAATAGGTAGGTACTTATATATTGAAATTTCTTCAAGCATTTTATTTTTCGATAAATGTATCATCATATCGTGTTGTTCATTGTCGTATGGAGACAATACGCAATATAAAACAGCATACTGCATCATTCTTTGACGTCTATCTGGTGATTCGCTTATAACGCTGGAATCAACTACAGCTTGATAATGGCGTGATGTTTTTAAAAATGATGAATCTTGATCTAAGCGAATCATCAATCCGTAATATTTAAATTTTAAATCTTGTTGTTCTTCGTCTTCGAAAAATTTTATATTAATTTTTTTCGCAATTATTTGGGTTCTTATATAGTCTTGCTTTGCCAAGCAAAGGCGCATTTGTTCTAAAATAAGTTCTACCTATAAAAATTTAAAAATTTTTTAAAACGCTGATGAAATTTTTAAGGCGTTAATCAAAATATATGTCCATAGTAATTATAACATATTTCAAAGTTTAGAATTATATTACCTTCTCCCTTTTTTCCATAGAACCGTAAGTTTCAACTTGTAAGTCTTCCATTATTGAAGCTGCTTCCGCAATATCTCCATCAGCTTCTTTGATTTCAGCTAAAACTTTAGTTAAACGAGCTCTTTCGACTTCGACATATATTTTTCCTTCAGTTACAGTTCTTAGAGTATCAATTAGTTTTAATTTTGTTTCTTTATCGCTTATTTTATCAACATAAGAACAACATTCTTGTATCATTTTGCTCACTGCTTGTTTTAACTGAGATCTTCTTTTTACCAATAAAACAATGTATTCATTTAACGCGTTCCAGTTCCCAGCTTCAAAACATATTTGAACGATTGCAATAAGAACTCTTGAACAAGATATCATGTCCCCGCCTAATCTCGTCTGTTTTTCCAATTGCAGTAACGTATCAATCGCTTCGTGAAATTTATCTGTATGCGATTTTGCTAAATCTTTTGCAATTGGAATTTTTTCATCACAAGCCGATGTATAATCTACTTCCATCCTTGTAATTTTTCCCCCATCAAAATTATTATAATTGGGAAGATCCATATTTTTTTATATATGTATATAATTCGGCTAATAGATTAAAAAATATATATGAAAAAACTCATTATTCAGCATAAACAGTATTTTTAAGGTTATGTACAAATGTAGTACTAAATTGCTAAATGTTAAATACGAAACTCACAAATTTTGAATAATAAAGAAATCACTATATGTTTGTTAAAAGTTTTCCTTAACTAAATGCTCCAAAATATATTAAAGTATACTTTCAATATTTCTGTATTTACTTTGAAATTTATTTGTTCGTTCACTACGCTAGAGTTCAACACAACTTTTCAATAAGTTTTGACTTAAGGCTCATGACTGGATTTTTTTCTCTTGACATTTCAAATTAAATCTACCAACGAAACACAGTCAAGTCGTTTGCGATAATTTTTTTGATTCATGAGAAAGACAGAAGTAAAGTTAATAACAACTACCTTGAAGAAAACGGGGGGAATCAAGTCGTATTCAATTTATTTATTTTTTAAAATCGTATTAATTTCTTTTTGTTTTTTGCCTAGATACTAAGCACTGAAACTTAGATTTATTTGTGATATAGCTAATAAATGCACTGAAGTAATATTATTAAACTATTTCTAAAATTTAGAATACTGTACGAGTTACTGAGCTTTCAGATTTTAAAATAAATGAATGTAATAAACATATAAATACATAACAACTGCATGAAAAATTTATTTAAATAAAAACTTAGATCTTTTTTCATATTAGTTTTATTTTTATTTAAATCAACAAAAAAGTTAGGAATGATAATTAAATGAGCTGTCAATTTTTGATATTTTTCTTAGATGTCAAATTTAGAGAAAATATTTAGAGACTTAAAGCTGAATTACCAGACTTCGGGTAATCATTTAGCTCCTGTAGTATTTGACGTTTTCAGTATTAAACAAAACTGTTCTCAGAAATATATCAAATAAATACGAATGTGTCTCATCGCGTCTTTTCTTGCTGCAATAAGTGACTCGCTTAAACTTGCCACATTTAGAAACGCAACGTCTGTTTACTTCTGGTTGCAATAATGTGCAGCACGTATGTTACATGTGTGCAGGAGTAAAATATTTAATACTTTAAATTCAAAATATTAATAATAATATATTTGAAAAGCTTAATACTTAATATTTCGTACTGAATACATCATAAGATTCCATCATAAATTTTTTGTTTAATTTTTCGCTTAATTGTGACATACTTAGTTTACTTTAATTTTAAAACGTTTTAGCGCGTATTAACTCATGAAACAATGTTTTTATTCATTCTAAAACATTATTTTTTTAAATAATTCACGCTAATATTTTATTTTATTTACTGAATTCAACGGCATCGGAACGTCTTAATAAATGAATGAACAAAAGCATTGTTTTAAAACTGTAAACAAATTTTTCAAAATGCAAAAGCTTAATTTCTACAAAAAAAAATATAAGAGATGTAGGATTCAATTGTGAAGCAGCTGGAAAAAGATTGAATTTGAAACTGCTTGGTATTGTATACATATTCGACAAAATTTAAAAAAAATTCTGATATCAGACTGTTTATATGTATATCACATCGAAATTATCGAATGGAGCTCAGACTTTTCCTCAAAATTTAATAATTTTTCTTTAAAAATTAAAACTAAATAAAAATCAGCTGATCGCTTTTTGAAACACAACACAAAAATTTAGTTTTAAAAAATCTTACAATAAATTTGATGAGACTAGATATAGTGAATTTATCATTGCAACGAATTAGAAATACTAAAGGAAGGAGCATCTTCGTTTTTATCTCCCATACACTCCTTAGCAAATTGTATCTTGAAAAAAACATAATGAAGCCAAAAATTTCAGATAAGTGTCTTTATAAACTGAAATTAACATTAAATGTGTTAATGTAATGCCAAATGTTGTTGTTTTTTATATCCGTACGAACGTATGTTCGAAGGGTATACTAAATTTGCCTTACCGTTTGTAACGCTAAGAAATAACAGTCTTAGATATGGACGCTCTACCAACTGAGCTACAGAGGCATGAAGAAAATGTTCTCTACATTGCTTATACTGTAATTCACATGATTACTAAGTATTTGTTTTGTTTGTTTTGTTTTGCGTCCGCCTAGAAAGCGGTAGGTCACTGGTTCGAGTCCAGTTCGAGGAGAAAAATTTTTTTAATGAATTTTTCTGCCTTTAACTCGTTCCTTTGATTACGTCATCCATCTGTTCTGCAGTTGCATGAAGAAATTTCCATTAAGATAAGTCAACTCTATTCTTTCTCGTTTTTCTTAGAAAATTACGCGCCGCTTATAAAAAGTGAACAAAGTAGATTTTGTTATTTTTTTCATAAAATTAGTGCAGTTTGCAAATAAGAAATCATAAAATATTTAATATAAACAAAAATATTTTATAAAAGCTTATAAAAAAATTATAACAAGTGAAAAAAAGAAAAAAAATTGTGAAAAATGAAAAAGGTGTATAGTTCTAAATTGTTATTCCTATTTGTAAAAGCAAATAATTTTATTACACTATATACATGTGAACATTATTCATTTCAGTAAATAAAGGAAATATTTATTTAATAGTGTTTGATTAGTTCATAATTTGTAATTTTTTTAAGTTTTTAATTTTTCAAAAAAACAGATTTTTGTTTTGTTTTAAATGAAAATTACTTCGGATGACATTATTTTACCAGAACCGCATTTTTTTCAAGCAAAATGAGTTTGTATTTGATAAAATGTAGCATACAAACAAATATTTTAAATTGATTTTTTTTTGTATAGTCACAGTTTTTCTAGAAATGATGAAATAAGATATACATATTTTCCTTTATAGAGTGAAGATTTGGTCACCAAAAAAATGTATTAAGACGTTTCATGCCGTTGAATTCAGTAAGTAAAATAAAATTTTAGCGTGAATTACTTAAAAAAAATAATGTTTTAGAATGAATAAGTACGTGAAGCTCAATTAAGGAATAAGGAAGAATGCGACAACATATTATCTACTTCAGTGAGTAATAACCATCATATTAATTAAAATTTGTTAAAAATTATACTGACGTCGAGTCATTAAAATATATATGTATTTATATTTATTCTTGTTAATATTTTTAAGAGTTGTTTGGTGAAATTGTCCAACAAAACTGATAATTTAAGAAATATGTTCATTTTCGAGTGTAATAAAATATTGTGATATTAAAACACTTTTAGTTATTTGCAATTTATAAAATAAATTTATTCAAAGAGAAACGGAATATAATGAGTTTAATTTTTTTTTTCAGATATTTAAAAAAAAAATATTTTGCAATATTTTTTAGTTTTTACTTTAAAAAAATTTTCAACTTATGCTTCTTACAAATTACACATATTTTATAGTAGAGGCTAGAGAAGAAAATAAAATAAATACGCTCCTGTTACGACTTTGACAATACTCAGAACAAAGAAAGGAACAACTAAAAGAAATTTGCCTTCATTGTTTTTTCAAGATGCTCCTTTCTTTAGTATTTCTAATGTCTTTATATCTAACAAGTCCCAATACTCAATTTTTTTTACGAAATGTTACGAATTTTTGGCCTCGTTGTTGGTTTTTTCTTTAAATGCCACTGATCGTGTCATATTTTTTATTATTTTTTTCTTTTTTTTTACGTAAAAAAGAGATTAATATTTTAAAAAATCTCAGGATATTATACACATTTTTTAAAAAGCTTCCCATTTAAATTCTATTGCACGAAAAAGAAAGAAAGGTAGGAGGAAAGAAAAAATGAAAAAAAATTTCAAATTCATATTTCAGTATGGTTTCAAATGTTAATGAGGAAGGATGTATGATTTTTTATGCACATTTTGTATTTCCCAATAAGGTAAGTTGAGTAGTGTCGGCTAACAAAAATGTTATTAAAAGTAATATAGGTTGACACATTTCAACAATTTGAATTATCTCATTTCGATTATTCATACGTTACTTATAAAATTGTTTCAAATAATTTCAGTTAGTTTTTAAATTATTAAAAATAAATATGTATGTACCTACTTCCAATAAATTTTTTTTTAAATAATTATTTTAAAACTATTTCAAACATGTTATATTGAGTGCTTCAAAAATTTTGCTGTGCTCTTTTTTCATATTTTATTAGCAGGTAAACAAGAGCAATCTATTTATAAAATGTCCCTGCATGTGTATGTATGACCTATCTTAATTCTAAACGGAAAGAATTTTAAAATACCTGAACAAAAATTTTAAAATACCTGTTATTTTACAGTCGGAATTTTCGAGTCATTTGGTAAAATACCATTTATTTCAAAAATAGAAAAATATTCAAATCCGGTCATAAAAATATATGATTGTTTTTTCCAAACATTTTAAATATTTTTTTTTCTTAGGTAATTGATATAAATGATAGTAAGTTTTTAATATTTTTTCAAATAAAAATAGAGGTAAAATTTTGAAGTTTATATAAAATTTGTATTTAACAAATAATATTTGATTGTATTTTAGATATTATTTTCTAATTCCCTCTTCAAATTTTTTCTTTATTATGTATTTATATCAATATTTAAGAATTATCTTTCATTAATTATATTTTCAACTTGACACCACAGGTACTTCCCATATCTTGCGTTAACTTACCCTATTAAAAAAAAAAAGCTGTTCACTTAAAAATAATGAAATGCTTTCAGTAACAAATAAAACGTTGAAGGCGAAGGTTGTGTTTGTTGTTTTTCCGCTTTTTTTAAAATTTTAAAATAATTATCAATGAAAATATTAATATATTTTTTTGATTTTTCAAATATATGTTCTAAATTTTACCTGCTTTATAATAAGTGTGAATTTATTTTAATATTTCTTCTCAAAAAATAGCCACTTCGATTTAAAAAAGGCCATATAAAATAAGGTGTGCTTTCAAGTTTCTCTCTGAGCATTGGGACTTGTTAGATATAAAGACATTAGTATTTCTAATTCGCTGATTAGACTCGTTCCATTCCGTTAGTTTTCTTTTGCTTACCACTTCCAAATTCCCAAAATATTCCATATTTATTAAGAAATAGATGGTAATAAGGGTTAAATAGGCAGGAAAGAAACAACATATTGTAATCAAACATCGGAATGAAATAAAATTAAATTAGGTAAAAATTTTGTTACTTTTATTTGATAACAACAAAATTTATTTTTCATAATATGTTATTTTTATTTCATTTTTTAGTTAGGTAAAAACATTCGAATGTATGAATGCAATAGATATAAGTTTAAAATTTCATATTTTATTATATTGTACATAATATGTATGTATATAATGTATATATGGAAAGCAAAGTATATCTACTAACAAGTA